TTTAGACCAATATCGCACAAGAAATGAATATGGCTCAAATCTCACCGGGTATATATGTATGAGTGTTAATCAAAGCAATCGAGCCACAAATCAAAATATGCCACTCAAGATAAACAATCATAAACTAGTCTCGATATTCACCAATGTCCAACTCAAAAACACAAAAACCTAAACTAGACTGGTCCACCAACAAGAGAAAGAAATAAAATCAACCCTAAAAAGAAAAAACTAGACAGGTTTACCACATAGTCATGCAAGCACGTAAACTCCCCCACACTTAAAATCAGACAATGTCCCCATTGTCGATTCACAGTGAAAAAGAGTAGACCATATAATTAGCCGACACGAAAAGAGCAAACTATACAAAAATAAAAGAGAAAAGGGAAAAGAAAACATACTAAGCACAGTGACAAGTCACTATGCGTTCGGTGGTGGCGGTGGTGGGTAAGGCTGACTGGGTCCCGAGCCCCAATGGGTGTCCCACTGGGTGAACCTCTGATCCCAGCTCTCCAATCTCGCATCCTGCTGGTCCTGCCGCTCTCGAATTGACCGGAGACTATCACTGAAGCCATCGAAGCGCATGTCCATCTGAGTCCAGTGGGTCTGCTGCTGGGTCTCCCAATGATCCCACTGAGTCTTTTGTTGGGTTTTCCAGCCGGTCCACTGTGCCGCTTGTTGGGTCTCCCAGCCGGTCCACTGGGTGGTATGACGGCTCTCAAAACCGTCCAGTCGGGTGTCCTGGGCATCAAAGCGGTCGTGGATGGAACGGATGTCAGCCGTGTACTGTGTCTGGAAGGCGGTCCACCATCCCGGTGGCTGCTGTGGAGGCACCTCCGGCTGTGGGTTCGGGGCCGGCGTCCACACGGATGGAGGTGGGAGGAAATGGTCATCATCGACGTTCATCTGGTCATGCTCGTTGCCTCCCGTCGGTTGTCGAGACGGCCCTGCCTGGTCCGGGTTTGACGCGCTCTGCTGGAGCTGCTGGAGCTTCCTGAAGCAGGTCGTATAGGCCTTGCGCTTCGTATACTCTTGAGGGGTAGTCCGGCTTTTGATGAGGTCGGACGACTTGAGCTCGTGATCATTGATGCAACGCATCTTTGACTTGTCCTTGGACCAGTCAAGCCTGGGATTCTGCTGGTCGACAACAAAATGTTTGGACAACGCGGTAACAAAATGTCCAAGCGCCGGTGTGCCACGCTGACTCAGTGCGATATCCTCCAAAGAGTTCTGGAGAAAGGTCATGGAGCATACCGATACTCCTGCTCGCATCGCCCAAAGAAGGAAAAGCTCGACCTCGCTCACTTTGTTTGCCTCCTTTTTTCTGGAAATATTGTAGCAAATGAACTTGTGCACGACCGCGGTGGCTAAGTCCTCAATGAGTCCGTTGGGCATACCGGCGGGATCCCACTTTGTGTGTGGGGAAAGTTTGGCCCAACACTTCTAAACGTCGAAATCAAGGGACTTGTGTCTCGTCCCGGACATGTTGAACCCACAAACTCTCTTCATAATCGCGTTGTCCACCGTGTACTCCTTCCCCCAAAACCGACAAGTGAAGTACTCATTGCCATCGGCGAGCACAAATGAGCTAAAGAACTCTAGCATTAGGCCTCGATACGACGGCTCTTCAATTTTGGCATACTCGGTTAGGTTGAGTACTTTGAGGTATTTCATTACGTCCTCGAGAATGCCTAAGTCATTCAAGAGGTTCCAATCCACCGCTTTCGGTCGCACCACCTCTTTTTGCAAGAGACGGGAGTAAGTCTCTCCTTCCTTCCGAGAATAAATGGGGAAAAGAGCACCGTATTGATCCGAAAGGTCATCGTCCGAAGGAGCATGTCGTGAGGATGATTCGCCCGCTTTACGCTTCTTAGCCGGCTCGGCTTGAGTGGCCTTCTTTTTAGTGGGACGAATCGTAGTCTTTCCCATTTCAAAAGTCACTCGAGCAATTCGTCGAACACCTTGGGTGCACAAGTTTGGAGATGAAGCTTTGATGAAGAAGACAATGGTGGAGCCAAATTAGCACCCTTTTTCAATCAATATGTCACAACCACCAACACTAACAAATAAAGTTCTTCGGAATAATAGCAAGGATCGTGAATACCCGATAATGAAGGCCCGAATTTGGTGAACCCGTGATAGAAAATCGGAGTTGAGGGATGACACGGATTTGGTCGGGTCGTTGCTATCAGCAGAGACGAGCTACTGAGAACGACTCACCGGTCGGAGACAATCCGGCGACTGGTAGGGCGGGGGGGACGCCGGCAACGGAGGTTGTGAACTAGGGTTAGCGATTTGAAGCTTCGAATTCTCACCACCCTTGCTCGTGAATATGCCGGGATGAAGAAATCGAATTAGTGCGGACGAATTCTTTGAGAGGTTGCGGGATGTGTATATGAAATTGATGATCGATTGTGATGGAAATATCGCCGGTGAAAGAAGTTATTTTGCAAGGATGAAAGAATGCTCAAAATCTGCCCATATGCCCCTTTAAAACGTAGTCCCACGGCCGTGACTTTTCCAAGGCCGCGACATATTTTGCTCGCCGCGGCCGCGACTTGGCTCCGCGGCCGCGGAATTTAGACGCTGTACCGGCTGACTGTTTGAGAAATCGTACTCGCCGCGGCCGCGGCGAAGGAATGCTCCGCGGCCGCGACCTGACTCCGCGGGCGCGACTTTTTCCGAGGCCGCGGAATTTCAAGCCTGTTGGAACGATATCTGGAGGCCAAAAATGGTCTCCGTGGCCGCGGCTAAGGAAAGCCCGCGGCCGCGGCCAACAATTTTTTTTATATATATATATAAATATAAATAGAAGAAAATAAAACAAATACACAGCAATACAAAGGATACTCGATTTAACACCGGGAGCTCGGCATAATTCTCGATCACGCATAGACTGGGTTGCCGAGACTGACGGTCTCGACATGTCTCTTTCCGAACTCTCCATCGAAATGGTTTCACTCTTTGCCCATTGACTACGAATCGCCATTAGCTGGATTACGAAGTCGGACAACTCCGAAAGATAGCACCTCATCAACGATATACGGCCCACTCCAACGTGATTTGAGTTTTTCGGAAAGAGACGAAGGCGGGAGTTAAATAGAAGTACCTTCAAGTCGGGCTCAAGATTCTTATGGACAATGGTCGCATCGTGAAGCTTCTTCACTTTGTCCTTGCAAATTTTTGCACTCTCGTAAGCTTCATTCCTCAACTCTTCGAGTTCCGATAGCTGTAACATCCTCTCTCGCCCTACAACATCAAGGTCAAAATTCATCTTTTTGATTGCCCAAAACGCCTTGTGCTCAATCTCAACCGGTAAGTGGCACAATTTTCCATAGACTAGCCGAAAAGGGCTCATCCCCAAAACTCATTTATAAGCTGTGCGTTGGGCCCAGAGTGCATCATCGAGCCGGCTCGACCAATCTTTTCTAGACGAGTTCACTGTCTTCTCAAGAATGGTTTTGATTTGTTTGTTGCTCGTCTCAGCTTGCCCTGAGGTCTGTGGGTGGTATGGGGTGGCTACCTTGTGTGAGATTCCGTACTTCTTCATCAGCTTTTCAAAGAGTCGGTTGCAAAAATGCTTGCCCCCGTCACTTATAATGGCCCGTGGGAAACCAAACCTGCTCAAAATATTTTCTCGCAAAAACTTTATAACCACATTAGCATCACATGTCCGTGTTGGGATAGCCTCGACCCACTTGGACACGTAATCTACAGCAAGGAGGATATATTCGAAGCCAAAGGACTTGGGAAACGGTCCCATGAAATCAATGCCACAAGGGGCATTTCATTTCTAGAACCAATGTTCCCAATTCTTTGACATCGGTCACACGATTTACAAAAATTATGAGCATCCTTAAAAAACTTGGCCAAAATAAACCTGATTGGAGGACTTTGAAAGCGGTCTTACGGCCCCCAAAGTGTCCTCCGCATTGAAACTCATGACAAAAGGCCAGGACATCCGGTTGTTCTTCTTCGAGCACACACCTTTGAAGGATTTCATCTTTTCCCATCTTGAAAAGGAATGGGTCGTCCCAAAAATAGCTCCTATACATCAAAACAAACCGTTTCCTCTCTTGGGAAGAGAGGTTAGCCAACAAAATACCATCTGACAAATAGTTCACTATGTCTGCATACCAAGGCACACTAACCACTTCATTCGCATGCTCATATGGAAAATCATCATTTATGCCTACATGCTCATGCAATGCAAGTGAAGGATCAGAAGGAACAGCGAGACAAGTGGTCAGCAACAATATTTTCACAACCCTTCCTATCACAAATTTCGACATCAAATTCTTGCAACAATAAAATCCACCTAATAAGCCTAGGTTTCGATTGAGTTTTACTCAAGAGATACCTAAGAGCCACATGATCAGAGTGCACAATCACTTTAGACCCTAGAATGTAAGACCTAAATTTCTCAAGGGAAAATACAACGGCTAAAAGTTCTTTTTCAGTGGTCGTATAATTCAATTGGGCACCATTTAAAGTTAAACTAGCGTAATAAATTACTCGAAGCAATTTATCAACTCGTTGGCCTAAAACGGCTCCAACAGCAAGGTTTGATGCATCACACATAATTTCAAAGGGTAAAGACCAATCTGGTGCAATCACAATAGGAGCAGTCACAAGCTTATTCTTCAATTTAGCAAAGGCATCTACACATGCATCATCAAATACGAAAGGCACATCATTAGCAAGCAAGTGACAGAAAGGCTGACTAATTTTTGAAAAGTCCTTAATAAATCATCTATAAAAGCCAGCATGCCCTAAGAAACTCCTAACACCTTTCACATTCACAGACGGGGGATGTTTTTCAATAACATCCACTTTTGCCTTATCAACCTCAATCCCCCGACTCGACACTATATGACCAAGCACGACTCCACTAGTCACCATAAAGTGACTTTTCTCCCAACTCAAAGTTAAATTCGACTCAATGCATCTTTCAAGAACTCGAGATAAGTTATGCAAGCAATCAGAAAAAGAGGTACCAAAAATAGAGAAGCCATCCATGAATACCTGCAAGCAGTCCTCGAGCATATCAGAGAACATGGAAAACATGCACCGTTGGAAGGTCCCGGGTGCATTGCATAGGCCGAAAGGGATACGTCTGAAGGCAAATGTGCCGAATGGGCATGTGAAGGTCGTCTTGGGTTGATCCTCCGGAGCTATGGCCACTTGGTAGTAGCCCGAGAGTCCGTCCAGGAAACAATAGAACTGGTGGCTGGAGAGTCGGTCGAGGATCTGATCAATGAACGGCAACGGGAAGTGGTCCTTCTTGGTCACTGCGTTGAGTCGCCTGTAGTCAATGCACATCCTCCACCCGGTGGTAATGCGGGTGGGAACCATCTCCTTTCTCTCATTCTCAATCACCGTAATGCCTCCCTTCTTGGGCACCACATGGGGACTCACCAACTCGCTGCTGGCCACTGGGTAGATAAGCCCTTCGGAATAGAGCTTCAGCACTTCCTTCTTTACCACTTCCATCATATTCGGGTTGAGCCTCCGTTGGCTGTCCCGAAAAGGCTTAGCACCCTCTTCCAGAATGATCCTGTGCATGCATGTGGAAGGGCTGATGCCCTTAATGTCTCCTAGGCTCCAACCAATGGCCTTCTGGTTCCTCTTAAATACTTCAATCAGCTCCTTCTCCTCTTCCCGATTAAGCTCAGCAAAGATGATGACCGGCTTTTGCTTCTCATCGTCGAGGAACACATATTTCAGGTGACGAGGTAGTTCCTTGAGCTCTAGTGTGAATGGGTTCGGTTTGTCAGGCTCGTCTGCTATAAAGAGCTCAATGGTGGGCTCTTCTTCTTCTTCTTCTTCAAGATCGGGCATTATCATCTCCTCTAAGTCTCGAATGGTCATTTTCTCGACAAACGGATCGCTTACGTCAACAAATGCACACTCCTCCACAAAGTTAACCGAGGATGCTGAGGTGGCTTCTCGGACTGAGATAGATACGGATTCGCCTAAGACAGCCATGTTCAAGGTCCCGTTCCTCAGGTCAATAAGGGTGTTAGTGGTTTCCATAAATGGTTTACCAAGAAGGATGGTGTGATCCTTCCCATTCTCCTGAACGTCCCCCACGTCTAGAACCACGAAGTCCACCGGGACAATAAGTCTCCCTATACGAACAAGGACATCTTCCACCACCCCCTTAGGGTATCGAATCGAACGGTCGGCCAGCTGTAAGCACATCCTAGTGGGTCTCAAGTCTCCAAGACCGAGCCTCTGGAAGATAGAGAATGGTATGAGG